ATTGTAGATTTCGTCGTCCTCTACAAAAAAGGTCTGATGCAATTTTCCCGTAGATCCAACGGTTTCGAAGTTATTGGCAAAAAACGAAAATTTGGAAGAAATTGAAGGGGTACCCCTTGGAAAAATCTCGGAAAAATTGAAAAATTTTATTTTGCAAAAATTTTGAAAATGACTTCAAATAAAAGTTGTAGGTATTGCTATTACCTATAAGAAAGGTCGTAAGCAATTTTTTTTCTATCTCAAATACTTCAGCTGATGATAATTGCTACCCGTTCCTATGAATGAAACAGAATCTTTATTAACCATAATTTTCAATAAGCATTCAATGAAAGTAATGAGGTACAGTCAATACAGACTGAGTTATATTATAAATGAAATTAAACAGAGGTATTTAAATTCTAATGCTTTTGACGATGCATAACCAAATATGCAGAGACACGTTCGGTTTCCAAGCCACGTTGCAATAAATCGCTGAATCGATTTGCAAGCGGTTTGCATTGCATTTCTGCCGTATTGAATTACAACCACGGGATTTTCGAATAGTGCTCCGTCTTTCCGCGGACGTATTAATACTGGGTGGGTGTTTTATCGGGCATAGCGGCCTGTCCGGTTTTATGACGCGACGGCGGAAAAATTGATCGCCGATCGGCCTCGGCCTGCCAGGCTAGATTAAACTGCGATCTCGTTTCCCAAACACAAAGAAAGGGGTGCTTAACGGTGTGTAATAAATTTCGCCGCGCTAATTACACTCTTAACTCCCTTCGGACGAATTTCGTTCGTTTATCATCCGCGTTGCATCTGCTGCAATAAACGCTCGTGCAACGGAGTTAGTGAATCGTGCACGGACTCATTTCCAATTCATTGGCCAGTTGAATTTTAAATGAAAGCTCGCGATAAACGCTCGAGATACGAGCTTGAAAATATTGATGTTTAATGTTGAGCACAAAATAATTATGAAAGGATCGGTGTTCCATTTATCTACGAAGGAATCTAAGATTCCTCGTACATATTTTATATGATTTATAGAGATTTAAATCCAGCACTAGTCGCATCTAGATATTCCGCATAGTTCACGCCGCGACCCGTTAGACAAACACGATCCGTCCAGATAAGCCGAGAGTCTCGTACCGATGATATACATTAATGCATCGCCTTCTATTACGGCTGCTACGGTTTACGTCATTAATATTCGATTAACCCGTGTCCCGTGAACGTCGCGAACAATGCAGTCGTGGCTCCTTCGCGGCGTTTCGGCTCGTGGACCGACAGGGAGCCCCTTTCTTTTTCAACCATCACGGATCCAAAGGGATACAGTTGTATGGAAATTCGAATTTCGATTATAGAAACGAGACCGTCGTTCGTTATCTATACTTCTTATACGGCAAGGAATAGTTGAACCTTCGGGTTACTCAATAAAATATTTTGTCTCGCGTTTATAGAATTCATTTGGTAAAAAAAGTAGGATAACGAACAATGCGCAAAGGCAATTATTCCTCTTCTAGTAGCTACTTCATCAAGGGTGAATGGAATTAGGTTAATCCAATTCGATATTTTACATCTCGCCTACGCATAAAATTGTATAAAAAATTACATCGCGTTAAATTGTATAAAAAATTGGCGAGTTTAAACAATGTGTTTTAATATATTTGATCGTACGGTTACATGATCGTATCGTATGAAGTAATATTTTATTTTGATCTCATGGCATATGGTATAATAGATGATTGTGCTATAATCTTTCAATTAGAATAGTCCCCGGGTGGTTTCACAATGAGAACAGAGGTGTATGCTAATCGGTAACCGTTGCGATAAACGGAGGAGAGAAAAAGAAATCAGGCTACAGGCTGTATAGACTCATTAGGCCCGCGAACCGTTGCCAAATACATACCTGCCGATCTGGATTATTCAGATCGGTCTCTCATTATCTCCGAGGTCAGGGCAAACTGTAAGTAAGAATGAATTCCAGCCGGCGACTTTCACGTTGCGTAACCGGCGTTCTCTCTATCGCGTGCACGCACCGGGACCCGGTGTGTGCATCACGTAAGTGAATGATGCCGCTTTACGAGCAAATGAATTTAGCTACCAAATGAGGCGATACGCCGAGATACCGAAGGTACCTGGTTAAATATGAAACCGAGAGTATAACTGTGAAACATCGAAAGACGGAGAGAGGGAGAGTGCAATGCGAGTAATCCAATTTGAATTATTTGCTAATTTGGTTCAGGCTCGTAATTGGCCGTCCATCAATCATACTTCTCTCTTTATAAAAATCTCAGTTGCCCAATCGAGTATACATTGCGCAAGAAATAGATTTGTAGAAATGTTTTCTTAATCCGAGCTTAGCCTACGTTCGTTAAAAGCCATTGCTCGTGAGTAACGTTTTATGTAACTTCCTACATCCTAATTAATAATTCTCGAACCTCCTAGAGAAAATATCGGATACATTGTCTCTGAAATTATTTACTCGATCCACTGTTTGTAAGGATCTCCGCGTCTTTTCATTCGCCATTTTCCCCATGCTAATTCCATCGCGCAGGGGCTTCACGAATCGGCGATAAATAACGATCAGCGCGGGCAAATTGCCGGCTCTCAATGATCGCCATACTTTTTCCCCGGTGTTACGCGGCCGTCCGCGGTGCTCGTTACTTACACGCACGCGTGATCATTGGGGATTAATGGGTTCCTGCAAATGGACCACGCGGGCCCATGCAATTTTCCAGTGGCCGGCGCGGATAGCCTCGAGATCGTGTTGTTTCTTCATCGGCTCACTTTTTCGTCCGACGGTTCTTTACTTACACGGGCGTCGAGTTAAAACGAATTTAACATCAGACAACCGTGTCTGTACTTTAAATTATATTTATAATTATATTGTAAAATCTTTACTTGATTTCACTCGGTTCGTTAGACACGGCGGAAGGCTCTACGAAGGTAAACGGTCTAAAACTTAAGACTTTCTAACTATACGTAAACGCGCGCGATAACAAATGTCCAGGAATTAATCACGCTTCGCATAATATTCTCTCGGCATAAACTTTCTCGGAAGTTCGAACTCTTTGAATATAAATTCGAACGACAATAATGTATGCCTCCTCATATTATTACACGTCACGGTAACGATTGCTGTCTGTAAGTTCGGTTTCTCTAATAAATTGAAAACGAGCATGACAAACTACCCGCGTGCTTAATGAAACGCTCTACGCATGAATTTAAAATATGGGCCGGTCAATCAAATGCACTCTAAATCGTTCTTGGAAAATTCTAACATCGTTTCAATTTTCCGGTTACACATTCTAAAATTATTATGTGTATACCGTAGTAACGCGTTCTGTAGAAAAAACATCGTGATTGTTGAACCTAACCAGAAGTTTCCAGCGTCTTTTGAAACACTTTCCTGTTCCCATGGCCCGAGCACATAATCACTGCGATATTACCGCGGATCTGATAAACGCATTGCGCTACGCGCGGGGGAAGCTTCCGCGAGCCGCACTTTCCAGCGAATGGAGGAAT